GTTCAGGCTGGAAGTGCTTTCCACCTGTGCTCACCCGAAGCCCACACCTATCTCCTGAGGGACAGACCGTTTAAGAGGCTCTGAGCCTAAGCTCCTCTCTCTCCCTCGTCCTCTTGCTCCACGCGCTGTGTTGCGCCCTGGATGCTCGACCCTCTCCTGGCTCTGACCTCATCTCCTGGCTTTCCCCCTTGTGCTCTGGGCTGTGACCAGCTCGGCTACGCTTCGTTTCTGACCGTCGTTCCTGCTCGTCTCCTCCGCAACTTGGGATCTTCCCCCGACCCAGGAACCCAGTGCTCTAAGTCACTGACGGCAATGCTCAACCCTTGCATAACCACCTTCTTATCAAAATGAGTCCCTGTAGACTTTCCTCATTTAACCCTGTGAAAATGCCGGCACTCAGACAGGCTTTACAATGGTCTACAAGCCACATGCCCACAGCTCAGCCACAGACAACACAGCAGAAGACGGGGGGAGAGGACATCTGAAGAGAAGAACGAGAGAGGCAAAGACAGAAGCCCAGAGATGGTAGGAACGAGAGAGAGCGAGAGAAACAAGGAACGGAGACCGAGGGTGAATCCGGTGGATCGTGGGATCACGATGGAGACACCAGATGCTGCATCTGTACAGACCCAAACTTAGCCAGAAGGACTGAAAGGAATGAAAACATCTATAGAGCTAAAAAACAAGGATTCAGACTGCTGGTCGGCTGACTGGAAACACAAACTCCTACTTCCTAACACTCTCAACAGATGTTCCTAAGACTCCTCTCATGGATCATCCAGTCACAAGAATTTCTAAGAGCTGTCAAATCACTGGAGCTTAACTTCCAATGTTTACTCCTCTTGAATCAATCAGGACCTCCGACTGTCAGAAACGGGAGAGTGTCAGTGTGAAATGACTCCTTGAAGAGACCGGTGTACTTACTTGATTCCCGGAACCTCGCAAGATTTCGGCCGAGAGGACAGCATTGGTACCTAGGAGGCACAGAGGAGAGAAGTGCTGAAAGGCCTCCAGTGGCTCCAGTGCAGGACAGCCCTGCGGTTCACATGTCCCACGGTCCACTGGTGCGGCGCTGGAAGCAAGGCCTAGGTCACGAGATGGAGGACTGGGGCAGGCCTGCGAGCTGCAGTTACAGTGGACAGCCACAGCAGGGCGCTACTGAGCAGCTCTGCGAGGAAACTGGGGTTTCAAACAGTTGAATCCTCCCCCTCAAGAGGAATCCAAATCATCATTTACACCTTTTATCTCTGATCTACAAGGGGCCAAGTTTGCACTGTAGCCAAGCACAGAGCGACTGTCAAATACAGTGGATCCACAGCCACAGTGACAGACAGGGGGACAGATTGTCACAGGGGGACATGGAGACATAGGGACAGATAGGGACAGGGGGACACGGAGACAGATTGTCACAGGGGGACACGGAGACAGATAAGGGGACAGAGTGACAGGGGGACAGATTAACACATGGGAACATGGAGACAGAGGGACAGATTGACACAGGGGACATGGAGACAGACAG